CACCGCTTAATTTGGTTGAGGTGGGAGACCGTGGCTATTTCAGACCTAATTTTATCAAAGAAGCAAGAGAGCAAGTCAGTGTTATTCAAAGTCATTTGAAGACTGCTCAAAGTCGTCAGAAGACTTATGCGGACAAGCGAAGAAGGTCCTTGCAGTTTGAAGTTGGTGACCATGTGTACCTAAAGGTATCCTCGATGAGAGGTGTGCATCGCTTTGGTGTTCAGGGAAAGTTAGCTCCTCGTTATGTTGGACCTTACAAGATTTTGGCTCGGTGCGATTCTGTTGCCTACCGTATCCAGCTCCTAGATATTTTGTCAGTAGTACATAATGTCTTCCATGTTTCCCAGTTAAAGAAATATTTATGGGTCCCCGATGAAGCTGTGGAAATTAAAGGACTCACTCTCCAACCTGATCTTTCTTATGTTGAGCATCCTATCAAGATCTTAGATGAAAAAGAAAGAGTGACCAGAAATAATGTGGTGAAGTTTTATAAAGTTCAGTGGTAAAAGCAATCGGAGGACGAAGCAACGTGGGAGCAAGAAAGCTATATCTTGAAGCATTATCTCCACCTTCTTTCTAGTTCACTGAGGTAATTGTTTAAATCGAAATTTATTTCTTATATCTTTTCCCACACTAGGCACATGAAATCTCGGGACAAGATTTTGTTTAAGGGGTAGAGCTGTAACACCCTCGGTGTTACCGCTTAAACAACTTGCTAAACTATGTCATGAGCATCATGTTTATGTGTTAATGCATGTGATAAAGTGTGTAGATCAATTTCCATAACTCAAAACGATCAACAAAAAAGCGAAACGGAAGTTGCTCCACGAGTTGTACAGTTAGCAAGCGAGGGGGTGTAAACTAATTTTTATTGAACAAAATACTATAGAACATGTGTGTGATACTTAAATAAGGTTTGAAGTACAAACTTTGTAGATGATGTTGAAATACTTGCGGTTAAAAAATGATATTACTAGCTAATATTTCCACTAGCTTAGAAATTTCAAATTGAAAACAAATCCGACTCAAAAACTAGTTTGTCAACAGCTAGATATCACTATGTAGCAATTTATTGTGAGAGATTGGGTTAAGAAATGGTGTAGTGGTATAGCTTGATTTGGTAGTCTCATATGCCATCTTAAGCACGGTGAAGATGGTTTAGATTGAAGCAAGCAACGTTAGAGTCGTGTTGACGTTTTAAAATTCATGCACGTCACATGTCTCACCGGATCGTGGTGCGTCCATGATGCTTACCCGTCACATCTATTATTTGTTGTACCTTTCGTGGCTCACCGGAATGCGGTTACCTCCCGTGTAGTCGCCAGCCCTTGGCCACGGAGAGCCCACTCTGCTTCACCCCGTTCATGCAACCACCCATCATCGCATGGTCGTCGGCCCATAGGTGAGCATCGGTCCACTAGCTAGGTCTGTAAGGGTCTCGGGTGGCGGTGTACCGCCTAGTGCCACCGCCCACCATCTTTGGCGAGCACCTGCCAGCCATCATGGGGACCTCTCCCGGTGCGAAGGTGAAAAGATCTGAGGGCTCAGCTTGCAAAATCATTGTCTATAGAAATAGTACATGTAGTGTTCGCGCTATTGACTGATAACGCGAGGGCATTTTTGCAAGAGTGCTAGCGCGCGTGGGGGCTCCCTGCTGTGGGCCACGTTAGGCCGAAATCAGTTTATCTTTTTTGTGGAAAATAGAAATAGCTTTTCATTTTAATTCTGAGCTGAACTTTTGTAATTGATATAAAATAATATAGATATCCAAAAATTGTGAAACAAATTTGGTTAGGTTCCTAAAATTATGCTCTATCTGGTAGCGTATTTAGTTCATATATTTTCTTGTTGATACCAGGAGCTATTAAATCATTTGAGAGTGCTCAATATTATTAAGTTAATTGTTGTAGGAATTTTTGTGGTAGATTGGTGATAGTAAAAACCCTGAAATTTTTTATAGTAGCTTCATTGTATTATTATGTGCTCACTGTAATTTTTGTAGCCCTCAAATAGACTATTTAATATGGTAGCTAAATACCTATTGAGGCTAAATGAATAATGGCATGATATTGGTTTATAAAAATTAAGCACTTGTAGGGTGAGCTTGGAATCCATTTGGTAGAGATAATGATTAGCTTAGTGTCTTTCTCATTAGAGAAAGCTTAGTATCTTAGCATGTGTATTCTTATTTTAAGAGTTGCTGTTGTCAAAATACTAAGTGTTACGAGAAATTATTTCCACTAGTCAGGTAAGTCTTACGAGTATATTGTGTACTCAGGGTTGATTTACCCCGGTTGCAGGTGCAGCTTGAGGAGTGACTGTTGTGTGAAGGATTCTTCTGGTGGACACAGATGGATCCTTGTATCTTATCATTAGATGTTTATTTTAATTCCGCTGTTTAAATTCCGCACTCTGAACTTGGTATTGTAATAATGTATTTCCGAGAACTCTTGTTGTATGAAATGGACTAAGTATTATAAATTCGTTCTCATTATTAGATCTTGGATAAAAACGTGAATTGTTCGAGTTCTCCCTTGAGGTGTGCTCGACGGAACCGTCCGATGTAGGTTACTTTCGGGGTGCTTAGCGTTTAGCGGAAGACGAGCGCCTCCGGAAGCGTGCTATTTCGGACGTTTCTGCCACATAAAGATGGTAGTAATTGCACTTGAGAGTAAGAAAAACTCATATTAAAACTAATAATTTACTTTTACTCATTTTCATATTCTAATGCACTAAGACTAATTGTTACCTTAGAAAAAACAACATACTAATGCACCAACACTAACAATTTATTCTAAATTGTATTAAAATCTAGTATTAATAATACTATTACGCATATAATCTTCTATAAAGAAAATTTAACATCTTAAATCACTATGGTATATGACTGAAATCGGTGTTTAGCCCACCGGTTGAAAAACAAAGGCCCTGTTTGCTTGAACTTATTAGCCATGGTACATTACTCATAACAAATCAGTGAACAATACTTTTTAGCTTGGCTTTTCAGTGAAGTGAACGGAGTCACTAGAGGGCGGCGATAGAAGCGAAAATCATGAAAACCTGTGAAAATCGGTTGAAATTTTTGTAAAAAATATCAAAATTTCAAGAAATTTTAGCTAAAATTTGAAAAAAAATATGAACGAAATGGAATCGAAATCACTGGAGGTTACAGATAGAAACGAAAGTCAATGATCTTTAGTGTCAAGTATCGATATTAGGGATACCCAAAGTAAAGAAGTTAGCGCCCACACTGACTTACCCGAATGGCTCGAGACGTATTAAAAGGTCTCGTCCGACCTAAAGACCGCATGCTCCGTCTCGCCCGACCCCAAGGATGTGGGTTCTGTCTCGCCTAAGGCCGCGGGCTCCGTCTCATCCGACCTCGAGGCCACGGGCTCCGTCTTGCCCGACCTCGAAGTTACGGGCTCTGTCTCGCCTGACCCCAAGAACGTGGTTTCCGTCTCGCCCAAGGTCGCGGGTTCCGTGACGCCCGACCTTGAGGATGCGGGTTCCGTCTTGTCCGACGGGGACCCATACGCCGCCAACCACTCCAGGTCCAAGCGTATAGGCCTGGGTCAAAACTCGAACGCCAGGAAGAGGCTGGCACGCCTCGATATAACCTGTGGCTATGACGGGCCATACACGGGGATTCATATCAAGAACAGTGTCGGACGTGTCGGTGTTGTTCTGCCTAATCCTCGTACGGACGCTGACAGACGCGCCAGCTCACCACGATGTCCGCCGGGAGGGAGTGGAACGCCATGACCGGTAGATGACGCCTGCGCATGGCGCCAGTGACGAATAGGGCCGCGACATGGAGCCGTCTCTGTTGACATCTACAGAATCAGCGGGACCCGCATGAAGGAGAAGAAGGAACTGGCAACCCTGGAAGCCTTCTTTCTCGTTCTTCTTCTTTTCTTCCTCTATAATCCGCGCTTTCCCTTGGCCTATAAAAGGGGAAGCAGGGCACCCCACGAAAGGGGGAAGGGGGCGGAGAGATCGAGACGCAAGAGCACGACACGAGCACACGACTGAGCGACAAGCGAGCTCTCAACACCCGTTCACTCCTTCCACCAGAGACTTGGGATTCTCTCCCTCTCTTGCCTGTTTGTAACCCCTACTGTAAACTAAGTGTCGGTAACACGAGCAGCAGCGAACTGGACATAGGGATATTCCGCCCGAACCAGTATAAATCCTTGTGTCCTCCGAGCACACTGTCCGAGCCAGACGTGAAAATACAAATTTACTCGTCGATGGTCCGAAAACACCGACGTTTAGTGAAAACCGGCCGAAATTCCGAACCTGACTGAAATGATCGTTTATGCCACAATAAAAAATAGGTCTGGTTTAGATGAGCGTTAGGAATCAGTATTTGGCACTGTAGCACTTTCGTTTGTATTTGATAATTATTGTCCAATCATGGGCTAACTAGGCTCAAAAGATTCGTCTCGTAATTTACAATCAAACTGTGTAATTAGTTATTTTTTTATCTACATTTAATACTCCATGTATGTGTCCAAAGATTTAATATGATGGAGAGAGAGTGAAAAAACTTATAATCTAAACGAGGCCATATATTGGATGTTATTGTGAGAATACTAACTCGGTTTCATATTCTTGGATTGAGAAATTATCCATACTATTGTTTTCACCCTGCGTATGATAGGCATGGATAAGAAGAGTTCAAGACACGACAGATCACCCCAAACAAGACTGCGCTCCCACCGTGCCCCCAGTCCCACAAGCCAAGCAGCAGTTGGGTCACTGACACCCGCGACCTCGCCGCAGGGCCCACACTACATGACCGACACCTCGCGGGTCGTGCCCGCCAGCGTAGCAGAAGCGTTTCCGGCAGCGGAGGTTTCCGCCCATCGATCTGTACGCCCTCCCCACCGGCCGGTCGCGCACCTCCACCAACCTACCTGCCCGCCCCGCCCGTCACCGTCCGTCTCCGCCCTCCAAAACCCTACTACCCCTTAGCCTCCAGCCCCGCGCCCGCCATGGCCACCAACGGCAGCTCCGCGGTACGCGTGCCGAGGCCCAGCATGTCTGTTTCTGTTTTAGATTGGTGGTGTTTTGGCTGATATTTTTTTTGAGGGGGTTGGGGGATTTTGCAGAGGGTTCGGGACACGGAGAGCAGCCTGGAGAAGGTGAAGCGGCAGCTGTCGTCGGGGTCCGGGAGGTACCTGCTGCAAGGGCCCCTGCTCAAGCGATCTGAGACGGTATGGCAATTCCTGGCCCAAGTCAAGCCGTTCATAGGGTGATGGATTGTATTTGTTTAATTAGGCCTGTGAAGAGTTGAACTTGGTGCTAGATTTCGCTAACCATAGGGCCGAATTTTGGCGTTGAAGGGTTCAGCTTTGGCGCTGAGTTTTGGTGTTAATATGTGTTGATTATGTAGTAATTACTGATATGGTTGGTTGCGGGGGCTTCTTTGGGGTATGGATTTTTAATGTGTTTTCGTAATTGTCTTAGAATGAATTGTGTTTTGCTTACACTTTTGTATTAATAATTTTGGTTCTAGCAGGGACCTTATGTACATAGTCAATATCATCGCATCTGTATAGTAGAATTGGTTGAAATGCATGCTGTTAATATTGGGGATGTATCGTTAGATTTTGGGGGGTGGAAGCGTGAATGGTTGGGATGACCACACATTGCATAGGAACTCTGTTAGAAAGTACTCTCGAGTGATTCACCTGGGACCATCTGTTTCCATATACACAGCTGTATGATCGTAGTGAACATAGTTTTTTTTCATTTCCTGATTAGGTCGTCCTTCTAAGTCTTATCTAACAATTTCATCCTCCAAACTCTTATGACCTCTCAAGCAGTTACGGAAATGGAATGAACGTTGGGTCATATTGGATCCGACATCTGGAAAGATGGAATACAAGTATGGAACCTTGCCCATTTAATAACCGGGAATGCCAAGTAAATTACAACTAGTACCTAATCAGCAGTCACTGATGTATTGGTGCAGACTCCGGAGAAATGAAACTGCCATTAAGGGGACCATTCTGTTTGACGCCTCAAGCACCATTACTTTATCTCCTGTGAACTTTCAGTAAGATTGCGTCATGAACATAACCTTTCCATAGTCGTCCGTTACCTAAATTTTTAGCGTTATAACCCAATTGTTGCTCAACTTTTGCAGAGGGATGCCAAAATATGATGGCTGCTGCTTCTGTATCCTATTTCCCTATATTTCGTTCAAAGAGATTGTTTCAGAAAGGGTTTCTTAAATAGTTATATATAGAGGAATCACATGTTTTAAGGTTTTACTATTCCTTTACTGTATTTAGACATCGAACTCCATAAAAGAAGGATTACTTTCTTTGCTTTGAAACTCCTGGTGCCGCCAAAGCTTGGGTATCTACATTACAGTAAGCTTTCTGATCCCTGACCAGTCAGTACATTCCACAGTATTGCTTGTTTCACACTTCTGTCTGTTGTATATTAATAGCCAAAGTACCTAGCAAACCTTTATCAGTGCAAGAATGCAGACTCCAATATGAGAGTGGAGTGCTTTCCATTTGATAATTGAATCTAGCAGTCTCCCAGTTGAAACTACTTTTTTCTAATTTCCAACGATGCAGATCTAAAGGATGTGATCTACTTCAATGTTGTTCCAAGAATGCATGATATGAGCCTTCGTGCTTAGACTGGGGATTCTCTATTTTACAGTACTTTAATAATAAAATAACCTGAAGAACCCTTCAGTGCGATCAGATTTACGTGATGTGGTGTAATCTGTTTATTCTTTTCAGCTACACATGCTGCATCTTACTAGTTCCTAATCTGGCGTATTGTAGTATTACGGGAAATCTACTTTATGTGATTTAAGCTACTCAATGTTGAGTTCTATCCCTGTTGCTGCATCCTGACTGTAGTTTTGTGTGCTTTTGTTGCTACTTGCTATGGTACCATCTCCTTTGCATGGTTAAAACACAACATTGGAGTCAATCTCATTGCTGTATCATGACTAGCTCTTTGTTGTTATTAAACAGTGCAACTCAGTTAGTCTTACGAGCTCATAAAGAGGCAGTAAATTCTTTGGCTGGGAATGGCTCTCCAGCTACATTAGGCACAGTTGCTACTGCAGTTGCTAATGCTAATGCAACAGCCATGGAGGCTACCAAGGAGATAGAAGCTGCACTAAAGGTTTCAATGAGGGCAGCTCTTGGGTTGGGTACAAATAACTCCAACGAGGGCCAACTTGATGACCTAACAATCATGAAGGTCTGCATTCATCTCTTAATAATTTTCACTTCATTTTTTGTTCAAAAGTACTGTTGTGGAGCTTTTTAAAATCAATTTTAAATGATAGGTTGTGATAGAATCTACATTTAGTTGCAACCCCAGAAATATAGCTGCTTAGAAGTTAAAAGTTTACTTTTATGCTAATTATATTACCACACATGCATCATTTCTTCAGTATTTTGATACCATTAAGTATAGCTGAGATGCCTGAGGCGAAAATACAATCGCGCAACAAATTTAGAAAAATTTGTCATGGGAAGAACAGAATGCTCCATGCTGTTATATGCAGTTGAATTTGGTTTCTTTGGGAAGCTGAAAATGTTTTTGTGTCTCATCCTTCTTATTGTTTGCTCATTTAGTAATTTCATGATTTACATTGCCAAACTTTTTTCAGATGTATTTGTGCGGTGACAAACACAGATTTACTCTGTTTTTTTTTTGCTCTCCCAGGAGACTCTACGAGTGAAAGATGAGGAATTGCAACATTTGGCTAAGGATATCCGTTCTCGAGATGCTACAATAAAGGAAATAGCAGACAAATTAACAGAAACTGCAGAGGCTGCAGAAGCTGCTGCTTCCGCAGCTCATACAATGGATGAACAGAGGCGACTTTTGTGTTTGGAGATTGAGCGACTAAAACAAGCCTTGGAAAGACAAATAGAGCAATCAATGCTTAAGGTAAAATTTTTATATTATTTTTGATTTGTTAACCCTCTGAATTCGTGATGCTAATATGGTCTTGTGGACATTGCAGCTTAGACAATCAGAAGAGAAGGTTATCAGCCTGAGCAAAGAGAAGGAGCAGTTGATGAAGGAAAGAGATGCTGCATTTCAAGAGGCTCATATGTGGCGCATTGAACTAGGAAAAGCCAGGGAGCAAGCAGTGATACAGCAAGCAACTATTGCCCGAGCAGAGGAGAAGGCAAGAGTTTCTGAAGCTGATGCTGCAGCTCGGATTAAGGAAGCTGCTGAAAAATTGCATACTGTTGAGAAAGAAAAGGAGGAGCTTCTAGCCCTGGTTGGTGTTCTCCAATCACAAGTCCAGAGGTTTGTTCTCACTCCTACAACATATATACGCAGTTTGTGTAATATGTATGTTTTTTACACTGTGATGGCTAATGACCAAAACACAAATTCACTGATGCAGAGAGCAGAGCAGCACAAAGCAAGTATGTGAAGAGAGGTCTGAATCATGTTCAGGCGCCGACAATTCCCTTCCCTTAACGAAGCATGTTGATGCATCGGATGATGATGTGGACAAAGCCTGCGTAAGTGACTCTAGATCAGTGCTGGTTTCAAGCGATAGCACTGAGGTCCAGCTGGCTGTGGATGGGGTGGACATCCGTCCTGTTGGCGATGCAGAGTGGGGTGGCTTCCAGCAGTCAGAAGCGCTGATCGCTGATGTTCGGGAGGTCTCCCCAGAGGCAGATGGCGGCAGCTTGGATATTCCTGTGGTCAACCCCCCACCAGTCAGTGATCATATCCAGGGAGGCGCCACCCATCCCTGAAGGCCTGAGATTGCTGCTGCTGGCCTGCAGCTACCTTCCGAGATTCATGTGATTGCTGAGAAACCGATAGGGATGTCTAAATCTGTAGAGGATTGCCGTTGAGGGTGTATTGCATCAATGCGGATTGTATGTCCATTGTATTTAAGTATACGACTGAATAAAAAGATAGTACTAGCTGTGTTTGGCTGTGGGATTGTAAATTATTCGCCTCGTTCCCGTTACTTGGAACTTTGCTGTGGCATTTCGCGATGAGAAACACTGGGGGGCGCGGAGTATTAGGCAAAATCGGTAATATGAACACAAATAAACTTAGCGATTGGCTTGACAGTTGAAGTTGTCATATTATATGAAAGCATATCATCAGCTATATCAGATGTACTCATGTACGGCACGACAGCTTCCTAGCAAAAAGCCAAAAACGAGTATTCTCGTCAGATTGAGGGTTAAAAATGTGTACTAGAGAGCAATACTATTCAATTTACAGAGCATGTCAATTTGATCGTGCAGATGTTTATGTAACGGAAAACACCAATCGCCAGCAAGGAACATAAGCATGTCTTGGGCTCGCCCGAATGAACACATGCTATAATACTTGCAATGGAGGCGAAACACAATTACAATACCAAAACCTTACACTTTCAATGGATTAGGGCACGAGTAGTAGTAAACCTAGTTAAACAAATAAAACTTACACACACACGGTCGCAGACAACTTAAACTTTTAGCACTACGCCTCTACAGGACTGGGCCCTCTTGGGCTACCGGCACTGCTCTGTTGCTCATACTCCTGACTTGGAAAAACATCAGCCAGCAAACTAGTTGAGATGTTGTTCGCATGAAGCCACGTCAGCTCCCACAAGCTGTCACCCCCAATCGTGCTCCTCTTCGCAAGGATGCCCTTGTTCTTCATCACGAGTAGAATGTTCTTGAGCAGGTCCGGGATCACCTCTTGCAGCTTGTCACTCCGCTTGCCTCGGACCTTGATCTTGATATACTTCTCCATCCGGCTCAGGACTCCCAGCCACAGTTTGCAGAAACTGCTTAGGCCAAAAAGGTCCGGCAAGAGTTGAAGGTATACTTTTGCAACTAGTTTCATGGCAAGCACAAGGGACCCTTCCATGTTTCTGTAGTCCTTCTGGGAGTGATTCTGACTGATTTCCAGCAAGTCATCAAGCAAGGAAAATATGACAAGGTCAAAGGCATGAGACCATGTCGCAGACTGGAGGCAGATTTCTTCTGTTGCTGTTAGGCATCGTTGGAGAGAAGCCAACGCATGATTTCGCACCTCCTCTCTCTGATCCAGGCTCAATTTTTTCAGTGCTTGCAGCAGTTTGAGCCACATCTCCTTATCGCCTCCAGCCCTTTCTCCCTTCTTCACATGTTGCTTTTATCTCTTGGGACCACAAGGCAAGACTTCTGACAGAGTCAGACATCAAGTCCAGGGCACAGACAGACCTATCAGCTAAACCAACTCTAGACTCCATGAACTGCCGTGGCGCTTCGATGCAGAAGCCATAATTCGCTAGAGAAAGGTGAGCCCCCTCTGTCATGATAAACACGATAGCCTCAAAACCAACTTCGGAAGCATCCGGATGGCGAGCTGTAATGGAGAGCAGCAATATTACTGTTCTCCAGCCCATCTGTGACTTTATATGTGCCGCATTTGCTTTGACGAGCCGTGCAACCTCCTGTGTGATGTTCTCACAGTATGCATCTGCTACTGCGTGCATCGAGCTTGAGAATTAATTGCAATGACCTCAGTAATTCATCAGCAAGATTCTCCTTGTATGGTAGTAAACTCTTGCATATCCTCAGGAGTCCAAAAATAGCTTTCTCCACAAGAGCACACGGCATAACTGTGGACTGAACTATGTTGGCAATATGCTCGTATACACCTTGCCAGAGGAGCACAATTCGGTCTCGATTATTAAGGGTTATGGCAATCAGCAGTTCCAAGCAGAAAACTGCTGTATCCTCATCATCTGGCGAACTGGCAACCTTTTGAGGTCGGCCTGCAGCCCAAATCAGAGCCCTGGCAAGTTGCAATAGTGAATCAGGCTGCAAGAATTTGCTCTCTGTAAATATACTATCGATGCGGCATTTCTGAATTGTCTGAAGAGTCCTCTGGTGAGCGGCAAGTTGCTGCTCCGTTGGTTGTGATCTTGGTTCTTCACTGTCAAGAGAGAGCAGCTGACTAAATCTTCCCATAAGCCCAGAGGATTTGCGAGGTGTACCCATCATTGGAATATGAGATGGGGGAACTGCGCTAGGAGCAGCCCTTCCTTGGACTGCTTCAGCAGAAAGCTCAGAATCATCAGCTGCATCACTAGCAACACGGGCAGGGAGAAGCCCTAGTTTATGCAGCCTCAGGATGCAATCCAATACATTCCTCCATCCAGTGCGTAAGTAATCCCCATATCTGTTAGCTATAGTAAATAATGTCTCAGCTGCCAACCTAGCTTTAAGATCATCTCCAAAGGCAGTAACTGGCTCCTCAACCAAAGAAGTATTCAAGAGAGTGGTGAATTTGCATAGAGAAACAACAAGATCGTCCAGAACATCCTCAAGATGATGAAATGCAGAGATCTTTGCAACACCCAAAAAGCCATCTACACAAGTCAAGAGAACTTCATGCTCTGAATGATCAAATACCACCGCAATGGCAGCAATTGTAGGGCCAGACATAACAGCAAACATATCATGGTCGAGGAAAGGCTGAGAGTCACCAACAATATATGGGGACGTAGACTTTGACTTCCGCATTAGGTCTATCCAACGACTAGGAGACATTTCAAAATATCCCAAACCCTGCTCAGGTGTTGTCTTAATCTCATTTCGGCAGATTGAGTGGTATAGCTCAGACAACATCTCACGTGGGAGATCACTGCCCCCATTTATGTTCCTGTTGTTCTTGATGAAGTCCTCCTCAGTCATCTTCTTCTTCACTTGCATGTTATGCTGATCAGTGTTCAGCATTATAATGGAATAGGACAGCACTAGAGCAGTGTCTTTGTTTGCGAAAGACTGAGGGGACTGCTCATAGTATCTATCTGAGAAGGCCTCAAGAACCCTCTGTATCTTCTGAGATTCACCAGGAAGCCGGAAAGTCTCCAAAAATAAACGCAGAGCTGTATCCAGGTTCATCTCATGGAAATCAAAGGTCTGAGCAAACTCATGAAGTACCTGAACACAAAACTCGTCATGATTGCCTAGGAAATCTCCAACAAGATTCTTATCCAGACCAGCTGTGTAGCGGAAAAAACAAGCCACACTCTGGGGATCAAGCTTCTCAGGCAACAGATGAGTGCCTTGAAGAAACTCCAGACCTTTCTTTGGGTCCCTGTTGAAGTGATCAGCACCAATCATTAGCCTCCTTTTGACATACTTCCTTTGACGCACAAACTTCACCCAATGCCGAGGATCAGAAAAGTTCTCACACTTAACAGTCCAGAAAGGAGTGTATTCATCAAGCTCCACAGGCAGGAGCTCAGGGCGTGAGGTTGCACTCCCGATACGATCAGCCATCCCCTGAATCACAGCAATCAAACCTTCTAGAGCAAGAATGTGCATGGAAGACAAGGGGCAGTTGATAGGAAAAGCACTCTTCGATAGAAGATTTGCAAGCTCCTCAAAAACATTCCTGCAGGTTATATCACAGTCAAGATTGGCATACATCTCCACCATAAAACTTTTCTGTCGACAGAAGTCTACAAGAGCTTCCATTGCAATCTCCTGCTGATGATATGTTGCCCCAAAACGAGGTTGTGCAAGCCTTATGATTATAAAAAAAAAAAGCCTCAAGCTGCAGCTTCAGCTCAGTCCGGAGATGATGGTAAAGGTTCAATGCAATACTGCATACTATTGAAAGGATGAGTGGACTCATTGACAACCCAAACTGCATTAAGTTTCTGAAAAGCTCATCTTGCACTAAGGACAACAACTTTGGATGTTTCTGAATTGAAGACCCACCAAGCTCAATTGCTGAATTGATCAATTTAAGAGCAAACAAAGGTAGATCTTCATCTAAGCCAATCTGTTCAACAACATTGAGGAGAGAGCATAGGAATTGGAAGATCTCCACCATGCAAGGGACTCCATAAGGCTCTACAACAAGACCACTGCCATCTGCAGAATTCTCATCAGATGTACCTGTCTCGGACACATAGCTTCCATTGCCATTTTCCATTTGCCTGATACCAAAAGGATGATTCACATCCATGCCACCCATCTGTCCATAACATTCAAAAACAATCAATAAACCTTTTCCAACGAGCAAAATGTTAGCACACTGCACATGCAATAATACTGTACTTGGCAACAGTTCATAGTAGGGAAACAAACACCAAGGCACACTTCAAACATCTAAAAGCCCTTTTGATACTCAAATGAGCGAAACCTTTATTAGGGGTTAGACCCGAGACCATGTTTGTTTTGTTCCACCTGGATAAAACTCAGATATATGCACACATATATACAAGTATCAATTGGGTTACTTAACTGTAAAACTAACTTACTTATTTCACTATCTGGATGAAGCAATCTCTGTGTGTTCCTAATTTTAGCTATAAACATCAATATCCATGGCCTGAACAAGATTTCAATTGGAAATTCAACAAGCTAGTTGAAAGTTGAAATGCATAAAAGATTTCACTAAACTAAAACCTGCATGACCTTGCTCTCCTCTCACAACCACACATAGAAAGTCAATTGGTAGTGAGCTGGTAGAGTTGCAGTGCCAGTAGCTATCATGATTTCAAAGTGACTAGGTGTCCGGCGAGAGCTGGGTGTGCCTGGATGCCTAGGCGATAAGGCACCACTATTCCCCAAAGGCGAGCTGGAGTGCGGTTAGACACCTAGGCGACACCTTTGAAACAGGGGTAGTTATGCACACTATTGGATGGAGCTCAAAGATGAAAGGGGCCAAGAATGCTGCAGCATTGCCACATGGCCAACTGTGTTGCAGTTGCAGCAATGTCACATCAATTGTGCGTGTAGTTGTGTGAGGAGGAAAGCTACATTACATAAAATACACAACACCCTTGCAGTGGTGATGTCAATTTATAAACATTTGTCATGTTAGCAGAGTTGACCTGATGGGATTATTAGCTTAGGAGCACCTGACTGAATATTGAAGCATGTTTCTCAAATCAGCTGATTTTGGCTCTCATTAGGGGATACTTTAAAGAGTTCAAGGGCGAAGATGCCTCTTCCAAAACTTGTTGTGGCAAAAACTAAAACATAGCCATATATGCAGCAGCAACATTGTCGGATTTAGCCTGTTTGTACATTTTATCAAGCATAAAAGATAAACAATCACCATTTCCCAGCCTCTGAGATCTACCCCACTGTTTGTACGATACAGTTTCATTTGCAATTTTCATTCTATGCGAGGAACTAAAGAGGCATCACTAAGAGAGTTTATAACAGATCTGAATGGCTCAAAAACTGCAACCTACATCAAGACATTGATTTCTAAGAGCTAACAATTGGACATAATAACTGCATGAAAGGTAATTTCCATCCCATGCGTGGCATTTTCTACCACGCAAGTTTAAACCTACACAAGCGAACCCAAAGGCTCTGCTCGGAATGGTCCTGAATTTGCTACTTAATTGTGAAATGCAGTTCATAGGATGCTACTTTGTGTGTTGGATGTTACTAATGTCTTATACTAACCAGTAAACTTGTTCGAGTCAAGAGTGAGATACGGGGTTGACTGGCATTTGTAATAAGCTCAAAAAAAGCATGAGGAGTTACTATTAATAGCAGGAGCGAGCACTCTTTTTACCTCTGGTTTGACAGCAGCGTCAACTCCATCAGCACTGCGTATCTTTGGGAGGCGCGCGAAGACGCAGCGGATGAGCTCGTGCATCGCGTGGCGCGAGAACCGCTGCAGGAGCTCGCTCTTGGCCGCGGCCTGGTGGACGACGCGGAAGCAGGTGTTGACTGCGGTGCAGACATGCTGGTCCCCGAGCGCGGGCGCGGCGGGCGCGCGGAGGCAAGCGAGCAGCGCCTGCAGCATCCTCATGAGCACGGCCTCCTCGGCCGCGGGCTCGGCGCCGGCCTCGAAGCGGCAGATGGCGACGGCGTCGACGACCTCCCGGAGCGCGGCGCCCGGGAGCGCGGGCCCCGTGAGGGACATGACCTCGTGGAGCGCGGCGAGCGAGGCGGAGGTGACGGCGGCGCCGGCGTCCACAGAGCGGACGGCGTCGAGGAAGGGCCGCAGCGCGGCGGCGGGGAGCGCGGCCGCGGGGGACGACGGGGAGAAGGCGAGGCGGCGGAGCGCGCGGAGGGAGGCGACCAGCGGGTGCTCGGCAACGGCGTCGTCGGCCGCCGTGGCGCGCGGGTGCCGGAGCCCGCGCCGCATGACGGCGAGCACGGCGCTGGCCTCGGCCGAGATCGCGCAGGCGAGGGCCGCCGGGTCGGGCCCGAGGCCGAGGCCGCCGTCGGCGGGGGAGCGCGCGTGGTGGTGGGGCTCCTCGGCGATGGGGTCGATGCCGCCGCCGGCGCCGCCGAGCATCCTGGGGCGACCCATTTCCGGCGGCTAGAGGCTAGTAGGGTGCGGTGCGGGGAGACGGCATGGGCGGCGGATCTGAGGAGGAAGGGAAGGGATCGGGGACAGGCAGCGTGGAGTAGAGCGGGGCCGTGCCCCGGTGGAGACGGCGAGGTGGTGTTGGGAGTAGGACGGAAGTTCGTGCGGGGGCGTGCCTGCCTGCCTGCCTTTTTTCTCGTGTCGGCTTTAATTTTTCAGCGCCGGCGCCGCGACGTGAGGCGGGCGAGCCGGAGCGAGGGAGGCAGAGGTCGGTGGAGGTGCAGTCGCGCATGGACTGGCTGCCCGGCTGGGGTTGTGCTTGTGCGGAGGTCAAGACAGCCGTCAAGGCCCCTGTGGGCTGTGGCCCGTGGCTCGTGCTTTGGTAGCTCCAGATAAATTAGAAAATTACGCAAACCTCTCTAGCCAAAGCGAAGACTTTTGATTTCTGGATACGGCCTTTGGAGGTCCAGTTTGATGGTGAATTTCGTTGCGGCACCACCAGCGTCGGAGGAGCTCTCTCGGGCCTCTCGGCTCAAGTGGGCAGTGCCACAGTGAGACACTGCCATTTTGTTCTCGGCTTCGGCGGTTGAGGCAGCAGTATTTTCTTTTCCTTCTAGGGACCTTGCCCTCCAGTCCTCAACCCATTTTTTTTTAGAAACTGGAGGGGTCTTGGCCCCTACAGATAAATTTTATTAAAAATAAACAAGAGAGGGGTTCAACACAACAAAAGCTCTAAGGAAAAAAAAGGAAACAAAGAAAATAAACTTAGAACTAAGGGTTACAACAGGTTTTGGATCCATTCTTCAAACTGAAGATTAAGCCTTGTCTTCACTCTATGCATAAGCAAGAGAATCTCTTTCTGGAAGAGGGCTCTAGCATTGTTCAGTGATGGCTGAATTCCTTTAAAGATCGGATCATTCCTCGTTGCCCAAATGGTCCAGCACATTAGAACAACAGCTGCCATAAAGAATTGAGAGTGCAATCTATCCTTGAAGTAATCTGCAATTTCTAGGAAGTCAACATTCAGTGGGATGTCAATGTGGATTAGCTGCCAACATTGATTTGCAAAAGGACACTGGAGGAAAAGATGTTGGCATGTTTCTTCGGTGTTCTGTAGGCAGAGAACACAGTTGTAGGACTCAAGATGCATGTTCCTCCTTCTCAGAATGTTTCTTGTACTCAATCTATCCTTGATTAGGAGCCAAAAGAAAACTTTATGCTTTGGCTGATATAGACAATCCCACAGCCACTTATAAACATTATGAATCTGCTGGTGCCCCATTAGGAGTTAGTAGGCCCTCGAAGAGTTGAACTTATCCCCCAGCTGTATTTCCAAACATCTGCATTTTCTGTTGTTGTTAATCTGTCTAGCATTTGTGTCATCTGCTGCAGCTGCTCAAAAGCTATCTCTGAGATTGGCAGACGAAAAAGCTGGGTAAGGTCCTCATGAGTCAATACTTTCTTTGCTGTGATGAGCTTATTTTTGGCATAATAAAAGAGTTCAGGTACCCCCAATTTAAGATCCTGTCCATTCCAGCTATCCTGCCAGAACAGAATAATGTCCCCACATTGCAATTGTATTACTGCCAATTCCTTGAAATGAGTGAGGTTCTTTAGGTTGTCACTCCACCAAAAGTATCCTTTTCTTGTATGTCCTGGCAGCTTTCCATTCCTGTAGTATTTCTCTCAGATCATTTGGACCCAAGGGATGTCCCTCTTGTTGAAGAATTTATCTAGGTTCTTTAGGAGTAGGGCTTCATTTTGCTTTTCAATATCAATGACACCTAGCCCTCTTTCCTTAGTTTTGCAAATCATCTTCCATGCTGCCTTTAGTGGTTTCCTAGCATTGATTTCATTGACTCTCCAAAGACAATGCTTTCTGAAACTGTCTATCCTCTTGATCACTGTCTTGGGGAGAGCTAGAGTGCACATGTAGTAAGTGGGTAGAGTAGTGAAGACAACATTTGTCAATTCTAGTCTTCCAGCCTGTGACAGAAAGCTTGAGACACTTGCTAGTCTTGCCTCACACTTGCTTATTAGGGGTTGATAATCTTGAATTGTTGGTCTGGTCAGCCCCAGTGGTAGTCCAAGATAGGTGAAAGAGAAAGACCCCTTGGAACAACCAAAAGTCCTGGCTAAAAAATCTAGCCTTGCATCACTGATGTTAATTGGTAGCATCATGGGCTTTTTGAGATTTACCTTTAAACCTGTGGCTTCAGAGAAGGTGTTGATGACTGATTTGAGGAAAAGCAGATGTTTGGTATCCCCTTCTAGTATTATTAATGTGTCATCAGCATACTGTATCACTGGAAAGTCCTGATTTGTTTCCATGGGGATGGCTAGTCTTCTCAGTCCCATGTCTTTGCCCTTGTTTATTAGTGATTGGAGAAAGTCAGTGTGGCAGAATCACCCGAAATAACACGTTTACGGAGGTGCTCGTCTTCCACCAGACACTAAGCACCCCGAAAGCAAGCTACAGCGGACGGTATCCGTCGGGCACACCCCAAGGGAGAACCCGAAAGATCCACATTTTTCCCAAGGATCCAATAATAAGAACGAGTTACAATACTGATCCATTTCATATATCAGAGTTTCTTAAAAATTACATTATTACATTACCAAATGTCAGAGTGCGAAATAATAAATAGCGAAATTTAAAATAAACATCTAGCGATAAGAACTAGGATCCGTCTGTGCCCATCAGAAGAATCCTGCACACAAAGGTACTTCTCATGCATCACCTGCAACAGGGGTAAATAAATCCTGAGTACACAATGTACTCGCAAGACTTATCCGACTAGTGGGAATAATTTCCCGACTCCAAGGGATATGATAAGCTTTATGGTTTACTGGTTTCTTTTGGCAGAAACCAATACTAATAGCGAGTCCTTATTTATGTTATTATTATCAGCCGTATTAAGTTATTACCTATTCAGTCTATATAAGTATCTGTTCTACTTTCAAGCAAGAGTTGAGCAATCAGTTCCATTTCATCATCTTTCATCTTTCAGTTCTTACTACGATGCTAGAGTTAAGACAAGCCGTACCGACTCGGCGGCGATTCGCGAACCAATGTGCCCAGCTGGGTGCCCCAAAAACACACGCCCCGCTTGTACCCCAGGCATAAGCAGGACCAACCCATCACCCTCCTGTCCTGGGTGTCCAGGTCCCCGTCCAAACTTGACTTCAAGCCCCCACTCCTGAGTCCCGGACTCAGTGCGGTGCAAGGACCTCCATCATCCCTGCCTCCAATCAGTTGGTCCGGAAAGAGCCGGATCCACGACAAGAGAGCAACAAGTCTTCCCTGCGCCCATACCCAAGTATATGCTCGGGACAATAGATCTGTGACTTGCCTAGCGTCCGTTACAACGACCGGTCCTTAACCAACACAGACAGGGAAAAAGTGTAACCGAGCTATGCCTTGTTGGCCGCAGGACACAACCCCTTACACCCACCAGTACCCAAACCATATCCCTGCCCGGTCACCATTTTCCTTTTTCCACCATTTTATCATGAGTGATCATATTTATCACCTATTTGCGAGTAACGACAGGTTACTCACGCTCCCGATATCCTGAGCATAGCAACTACTCGACCTATACTAGTATGACTCATGGGTAGATATATTTATGCATGTAGTTTTCATAAAATGCCTGTAACTTAAATGCACATCATATATATATATATATATATATATATATATATATATATATATATATATATATATTCAGTAATCATAAATAGGGGTTATGCACCGGGGCTTGCCTTGGGCAGGCGATGGGTCAACAAAGTCAGCACCAAAAGGCTCAGGGGCCCCCTCCTGCACGAGGATCTCCTCCTCGTACTCCTCAATGACTTCCTCGTACTCCTGTTCGTCGACGGGCATGAACTCTACCAACTCGTGATCTACATGTATGAAATGATGATGCAATGCTTAGTAATATAGCAACAGCAACTCTTAAAATAAAAGTACATCTGTCTAACTATTAAGCTAGTGCTACCGACCAAGGTACTAAATTATCTATTGTTACCAATAACAAGTATGAAGTATGACATACATTATTATAGCAACTACAGATATTCTTACTCCTAATGTTGATTTACGCTATATATGATAAAGCAAGGATAATAGCTACTCTATTTATTAACATATTCTAGGGCTACAAAATTTACAGCAAGTACATAATAATCTAGTGAGCCTACTGTAAAATTTTCATAGCAATAACTATCACCAATTTACCATAAAAATTACTACAATTATTAATCTATAATACTAAGCTTTCTAGTTTGAATTTATGAACCTACCATTGTCATAGCTAACTGTAATCTAACTACACTAACAGGTGGATGGTATTTTTGTGAACCTAATAAACTTGGTTTTACTATTTTTGGACATCTATAGAATTTACTACTATTTTTCAAAGTTCTGCTCAAACTATTATTGAATAAACATTCCTACTCTGCTGGAATTTGAAAAACTCAATTCTACCGCATGGCCCAACGCTGCTCGGCTTTCAATTCATTAAACCGCTGCGACCACAATGATACCAGCCCCTGGCGTGGCCACGCCAGCCAGGCAGCGGCCAGCAGCAGAGAGAGGAGACCCATGCTGGGAGGACCCATGCGCGCCGGGCAATAAGCAAAAACACCCTCGAACTACTCTGTAATCCCACGAGCTAAGCGCACTGTTCCGCTAGTCTACTATCTTACAGCTACGCCCTCGGAACTTTCTACCTTCACGACAGCGATACCCCCCGGGCACCCGCGCGCGCACCGACGCGGCGGCGCTGGCACTAGGCGGCTACACCGGCGAGCACAGCCCCTCCCCGCCCTTACTACGGGACCGATACTTACCTAGGAGCGAACACGAAGCGTTGGGCGAAGGAAGCGTGAGCCGGGACGTAGTAGCGAGGTCGGACCACGGTGGCGGAGACCCTGCAGCCACGGCGGTGGCGTTTCGGTGAATGACAGCAAGGCCGGGGCAAAAGGGGTAGCTAGTGAGC